GGGGCTGAAGTGGCCGTGGCGCTTTTCCCTCACCCCCATGCCCTCCTCCGACGGGGATAATCGACCGCCCTTGCCGTGGCTCGGGGGTGCCGTTCAAGGCCTCCCGGTGTGAGGGGCCGCCATCCCACGGCTGCTGTGAGCCCACGGGCACGCGAGGCCGTGTCCCCCCCCGGCTCCTCACGGAGCTCCGCTCCGGGCAGGGAAAGCAGCTCCGGCTGAGGGCGGCTGGCAGCGGGCGCTGCGGCGCCGGAGCTCTGGGGACGGGGCCGTGCTTCCAGCCGTGACCGGGGCGCTGCGTCTCCCCCAGGGCCCGTGAATGCTGCCGGCTGCGCTGCTCCTGCTCGCTGTGCTGCTGCTCGTTTTGGCCAAAATGTCCAACGCTCGGTGCGAGAGGGAGAAGGAGCCGGAGGAGAGCCCCGCGGGGCCGCCCCCAGCAGCCAGCCCCCCGGGCCGGCAGAGCCCCCCGGGCCGGCCGCCGCCGCGGGCCGGGCGGGCGGGCGCGGAGCAGGAGCAGCTCGCCGTGTACAACCCCGCGGCGCTGCGCCGCCCGGCCCTCGCCAAGTTCGTGCTGGGCTCCTTCGACGACAACTCCTCCGACGATGAGCTGATGGCCACGGCATTCAGGGTGGGCCGGCGGCGCAGCAGCCTGGCCGGGGTGGGGGGTACCGTCCCCGAGCCCCTCACCGTCAGCGCCCTTCTGGAGCCCAGCGCAGGCATCAGGTAGGGATGGATCCCCGATGGCCGGAGCGCGGCCGGGCAGGGATGTCCCGGTTAGGGAGGGTGAGTGCTTGTGGTGGGTGCATGGCTGTTGGTAGAATTGGGGTGCACACCTAATGGTGCTCCTCGGGGCCACAAGGTGATGCCCCCAATCCTGCTGCCGTGTGAGAGCCAGTGTCCTTGGCCGTGTGACAGCAGTGCCACCTGCATGAGTGTGGCAAGAACCCGGGCAGGGGGTGCCCCCCAGATTCTCTAGTGTGTAGGGCAGCTCACTCCCTGCTGGCTGCACCAAGCAGCTCCCATGGGAGCACAGCAGATATTCAGAAGAAACAACTTGGAAGCCAAATGCTGCTGCCTGCCTCCTCCAGCTGCTCTGCTCTGGCTAAAAATAACAAACCTTTGGCTGCAGGGACATGTTGTGACACTCGACAGCCCGACAGTGGTTCTTGCCATGCTGGGTTTGAGGTGGTGCTGCCAGCAGTATCCCTGCTGCTCTTCCATTCTTCCACAAATAAGGAATTTCTTTATGTCCTGCCTGAGTGACATTGTAGATACGGTTGGTGACCTTTGCAGCACAGGCTTTGCAGGGGGTTTGGGGCTGGGGGAAGGCTCACTGGAGTGGTCTGGGCTCTCTGGGGAGGCCTTGGGCTCACTGACAGCCACCACATCCTGCCACAGGCCCAGCATGTCAGGGCTGGACCTGGCGAAGAGGAGCCACAGGAAGATGGACCTGCAGCGGGATTTTTCTGTTGCCTCCCCAGCCGAGTTTGTCACCCGCTTTGGGGGCAACCGTGTCATCGAGAAGGTCTGTCCCCACCCGCCCCTGCTTGTGCCTGGCTAGGGGATCACTGCTTTTAGCACGACATTTTTGAGCACTGCCCAAATGTCCTGTGTCCTCCAGGCTTGGAGCAATGGCAGCCCAGAGCTGTTCATTCCATGGCTTCACTCACTCTTATGGGTTGGGAGAGGGAACCCCAGGCAGAAGCTTTGCACAAACGATGGCCAAAATCCCAGTGCCGGACATCAGCAATGTTGTTGAGGAGTCTTGTGCTCTGCTGGGATGAACAACCAGCTGTTGGAAAGCTCCTGATTAACACATCCCCCCTGCTTTGCTCCACACCCACCCCTTGCCCCTGCACTGCTGTCCCTTGGGGTAGCAAGGACAGGGTTCACCATGCCACCCCCTGTCCCTGTCCCCCCAGGTCCTCATCGCCAACAATGGCATCGCTGCTGTGAAGTGCATGCGCTCCATCCGCCGCTGGGCCTACGAGATGTTCCGCAACGAGCGCGCCATTCGCTTCGTGGTCATGGTCACCCCCGAGGACCTCAAGGCTAACGCAGGTAATTCCTGGAAATATCCCAAAAAGGAAGTTCCCTACCTGAGGCTGAGCTGGGGCAGCCCTTTCCTGCCTGGCACATGAGGGCTGTGCACAGCCTGGAGTCACACAGTTTACTTCCACACAGCCAAATCCAGGACAAAATAATTTTTCCCTGCTCCAGCCTCCCTGAGATGGAGGATTTGGGAAGGGGTGCCACTCAGGGATCTGGCTCCCACCACTGCCCGTGCTCTCTTGCAGAGTACATTAAGATGGCAGATCACTACGTGCCAGTCCCTGGAGGAACGAATAACAACAACTACGCCAATGTGGAGCTGATTGTAGACATTTCCAAACGTATCCCAGTCCAGGTAGTGGCCATTTGTGTGTCTCCCACCTCCTTACCAAGGGCAGCTCCTGGGCAGAGGGTACACCCCAAAAGGGAGTGATGTCCCTGTGTGCTGAAGAGCTGGGCACGGTGGAAGATGCCAGCACAGGGGTAGCATTCCCACTGCTGCATTTCCTTGTGCCAGGCGGTGTGGGCTGGCTGGGGACACGCCTCGGAGAACCACAAGCTGCCAGAGCTGCTGCAGAAAAATGGGATAGCTTTCCTAGGTAAAATCTCACTGCTTCTCCGTGCTGGCTGTTGGGCTGGTGTGTGCACTCACAATCACTGCCAGGGACACTGCACTGGGAAAGCCCCTTTGGTGCCTCTGGCATGCCCAACTCATGGAGTGGCA